AGAAAAAGTTACAAGTAAATGCATAGGAAGACAATAACTTCGTTTCGGGGCATGAACTACATGGGCAGTAAGAATATGGCAATACAGGGCACACATTAAATAATACTCCCTTTGCCCCTAAATGTTGTTCCAATTGCGGATTACGAAGGTTGACCGACGATAAAGTTAAATGATCCCTGTGAAAACTCGGATTATTTTTAGTAAATAAAATTTACATATTCAGAAACTACATTAAACCCGCTACAAAGCCTGCAAAAAATAATTCAACATTTATAAAATTTTGATATAAAAAGTAAGAGTTTAAGAGTGATTTAAGTTGACCCTCGATAAGCGAAATGAGACTTCTTTTAGGGACAGATAGGGAGTAGACAGTAAATTATAGAGGCAGTAAATGGAATTAACAGTAAACGAAATAAGTAGTAAAGGAAAAAATGGAAGTGCATACGAAGACAATAATTACGTTCAGGTCATTAAATGCATGGACAGTAACTACATTGGAATACATGGCAACGACACTTCATAATAAGCTGTTAATGACATAGGCAGTGAATTTAGCATGCCCTGACATAGGCAGTAAGTTTATCATTGGGAAGCGTGGTATTTTGATCCGCTTCACCGGTAAAATGATTCCAGTCTGTTTCTTCATAGAGATTATTGGCTTGGTGTTGAAGATCATCATCTACGATTTCCACACACAAAGGCATTCACATTGGGTCGTTCTACATGCTCTTCAATTGCAAATAAAATTGTAATGTGTCATTGTGTTGTCATCACACACCATGACCAGAGGAGGGCAAGAAGTGAACACTTATGAAATCACAATATTCTTCCCTACGTATTTTCCCCCATAACAGAAAACAAACCCCGAACGAAGAAAAGAGAAAATAGAATTTGCCGGTATAGTAATGCCAGAGACGTGAAGACTAGAAAATAGAGTATTTGTTACCCATTTTCCATCAAACCTAACCAATATCCACATTTCCGGTGCATTTTCTGGACTGGACTCCATGGCTACGCGTAGAAAGGTATCAAACGGTTATCGTGACTTTGGAGACGGGGAGAGACCTAATACGTAAAACATGGGAGCAGTTACCATACATAAAAATATTCATTAATTATAGGAATAGCATTTAATAAGAAGTCATGCATGTATCTGCCGTTTCCTTTCACAATGGATATGACTGCCACAAAAATAGGGTAAATAACTCTTTCCCATAATTAAAACAGAGGACATGCGTGGAAATTAAAAAAAAAATGCACCATGCACAACATACGGATGGTAGCCTAGGGAAAAAAACTGACCAAGTCATAGATTGGGAGAGAGGTTGTGTTTTAATAATATCCCTGATAATTTTCTCTTTATATTTATGTTTTGTAAATAAAATTCAGCTTGAGGGGCAGATGTAGGGTACAATTTAGATATTTTCGATTTTATTTCCGAATTTCAAGGCAAAAGCTTTTCTACATTCTTAGTTCTTAGAATTGATGCATTGTCTATACACATATGTCATCTTCTTAGGTTATATTTTCTATTAAGAATTACCCACTAATTGTTTGGTTTGATTTTTCATTTTTATAACCACTATAGTACTATACTAGTATACTCACGTTTATGTACTCAAATAAACTAAAGTATTATGTTTTATCAAAAACAAGTATAAATTCTACCAGCGTAAACTTTGAAATTAGAACATGAGTACTGCTTCAATTCAATAAATTAAAAAAGCAATGAGGGTAACTCTTGTCATCAGTCCCTAACACGTAGTATGTATTTCTGCTTATACTACACCGTTTTTGGACGCAGTAATTTGCCAAGCATGAATAACACACCTATGACTCTATGAGTGCATGTCTATAAGAATGTGTCTGTATCATGGTTCTAAAAATCGGCCTCGGCGCCCGCCTAGGTGCCGCCTAGTCGCTAGGTGGGGGCAGGCACCCCGATTTTGCTCTAGTCAGTGGAGAAAATCATTTCGGGGCCTAAGCGGGCGCCTAGTCGGCTAGGCGGGAATCTAGTTGGGCTAGGCAGGCGTCTAGGCGGGCTAGGCGGGCTAGGGATGGACTCGGGCCGGGCCAACCGGCCCGGAACCGGACCGGCCCGGAACCGGACCGGCCCGGAACCGGACCGGCCCGGTGAACCGGTTTGTGCCCGGTTCGGGCCACCCGGCCCGGTGGTATAGCGGTCCGGGCCCGGGCCTCCAGTTTAGTGAACCGGCCCGGCCGGGCCGGGCCCGGTTCGGGCCGGAATTTATTTATTAATTTTTTTTTTGAATTTTTTTTTAAGTTTTGGGTTGGATTAGGTATTTTGGGTCATTTGAGGTGGTTTGGGGTGGAGGGGGAGGGGTAGGGGGTTAAATAAGAGAAGAAGAAAAAAAATTAAAAATCCAGGTGGCCCGGCCCGGTCTGGCCCGGAACCGCCCACCACCGGTTCGGGCTCGGGCCTCATTTTTCTGAACCGAGGCCCGGCCGGGCCCAGGCCCGAACCGGAACCGGTCCACCCCTAAGGCGGCCTGGACTGAATTTTTTACCGAACTTTTTTATGTTCTTTCTTAAAACATCGTGTGATCAAGAAGTATTATATTTCTATATAATTTATTTTTCATATTCCCACAATAAAAAAAATTAGCTATAAATAAAGTTGGTATAATGTATTTTAAGTTTTTTAGAGTAAAAAACACAAAATATCTTAATTTATTTATTAATTATTTTATTATTGATGATTCTACTATAAAAAACATAACATTTAATGATTATATGAGCTATTTCTATTGTCAAAACATTACAAAATTATTAGTAATATGATTAAAATTCAAAGGAAATAAAAAGAAAACAAAAACTAAAGGAAAAAATTCCTATGCGCCCTAGTCGGCGCCTAGGCGGGCTAGGCGCTAGGCAGCCAGTCACCGCCCGACTAGTGCGTAGCGCATTTTAGAACATTAGTCTGCATATATCTTGTGGTTTATAATATCGATCTCTACATAAGTTAAGTGACAATATCTTTCACTACAAATAATTAGCGGATTGACAGAACTTTTTTAACAGAAATTCGTCAAAATTCATAGAGGATTTGACACGGATATATCAAATTGTGCCAAAACATTTTGTCATGAGATATTTGACACGAAAGCATTCATCACTTTGTGCTAAATACGTGTCAATCTCGTAATTCTTTTGTAATGTTTATTCCATTGAGATTTATTATTATTGATTCTTTGTTAATAGGGAATAGGCATTTTTCTATACACTGGCATCGTACTGTTATTAAATCTATTTGAATGGTGCAACATGTACTTACTAGTCAGAATCTCTTCACGACGTCGTTTTAGACTGTGTTCAGTTTTTTCTTCACCCATCCCACAACGAGCAAGGTCCTGAGCATGTCAATCGTAACAGGTGCCCGACATAATAATCGATCAAAACGTAGGTAATAACTAATAAGTATGGAGCTTAGGGAATAGCCATTATCTTTTCTGTGCTATTTTTTGTACACAATCTTGTTTCTCAACGAATTGTCTGTGTACACAGACAACTAGAATGTGTAATTGTATACAAGAAAATTATACAACTTATGTGTACAGACAGCTTTTTGCTATCTTTTTATATATAAATGAAGATTATGGTGTTATGCATACTACATGTGGAGTAAATAAATCTTGCACATTAACTCTGGTCGAGTATCACTTAAACATACTAGACCATCATCAGTTGTAAAGTATACAAGGATCAAACATTTATCAAACTATGTCAAATCAAACAAGACAGAATTTAAACATATCAGATCAGGTCAGAAAATTTCAATATAATTAAAAACATTCTACATTATAAAAGAGCGTAGTTAAAAATTAACTCAGTTTTGAAACTGCAAGGAGTCCATGCGGCAAATAGCTGCACTGCGCACTCATTTCCCACAACCCCGGACATGTCCAGGCTTAACAAATTCTATTTTAATCTAAAATCAATCTTTTACTCATGCATTGCACAAGATAAAAGACTACTCTAGTACTCTGTATTACATACGAAGTCGTCCAGTCGTTCAAAGGCTTATGTGTGTGCACATAAATTACTTATATTGGCTAACAATTTTATTCTCAAATTTCACTCTTAAGCTTGAGCAAGTATCAAGCTAATATCCGAGCATACTCCACAAACACATTCACAATGATAGAACTCCGGTATGAATCTTCATTTCCAGTTTTCCGCATTATCTTTCAACAAAGCAAATAATCTAGTTGCAACAATGAATGAGTGCGGGGCTTTCCACATTATCTCTCAATTACAATTTACAACTCTTTATATATGCATTTCTCTAAAAATAGAGTGAATCTAAAAAAAGGTGTGAGATGAAATACAAAACACCCAATCACATCATGTGACCTCCATCATGGACTCTAGGTAAACATTAATTGGGCAATTATAAGAATACTTTTTCACCTCAATCAAAATTGAACACTTCTGAAGTTATGTAAGGTATTACCAATTAAATCGTTCAATATGTGCCCTCAAAAATTTTGTTATATTTCTTTTAAAAAAGAAGTTGGTAGTTCCAATGCAGTAAAGCACTAGGCAACATTACAATTTATACTCTTATGATCTCTTACTGAGAAAAGGCCTAGATCATTAGAGCCTACAATTTGTTGTATGGTAAATTGATAAAAATAAGTATTTCGAAGAATTGAGATACTAGATTTGATAAAACTAATAAAAATTATGTAATTATGAAACTAAGAGGTAGAAGACCTTTTTGTATAAGAAGATAATAATCTCTTGTCGATTTTTATGAACCTCACGAGAGGTATATATATGACAACATACATGGAAGATAACAAATTAAAGTAACATGCATGGGCCATGCAAGAGCATGTCACCCACGTAGCTATGTATTACACTTATGGAACACTACATATGTAATAATGAAAATACTATAATTGAAATAGAAAATGAATAATTATTAGCATATTCCAATACTCCCCCTCAAGGTGGAGTGTGAAGATCACGAACACCCAACTTGCTGCGTAGAAACTGAAAACGATCAGTACCGAGTGCTTTGGTGAATATATCGGCCACTTGATTGGCTGTGGAGACAGGCATGGGTTGTATCTCATTAGTAGCAACCCTTTCTCGTACAAAGTAACAATCTATTTCAACATGTTTGGTACGTTCATGGAAAACTGGATTAAGAGCAATATGTCGTGCTGCTTGATTATCACAATAGAGAGACGTGGGACCTTTTTGAGGTATCGTTAGATCTTGGAGCAACCATCGCAGCCATAAAATTTCACTAACCGTGACAGCCATGGCACGATATTCTGCTTCAGCGGAAGAGCGAGAGACAACCGATTGTTTCTTTGTTCTCCAAGAGATTGGTGAGTTTCCAAGCATGATGAAGTAACCAGTGCTTGATCTACGAGTAAAAGAGCAGCCCGCCCAGTCAGCATCACAATAACCTTTTAAAGTTGAGTCAGTATCAGATGATAAAAAATCCCCTATCCAGGTGTCTGTTTCAGATAGCGAAGTATCCGGAAGGCCGCATCAAGATGAGTCTGACGGGGGTTGTTTAGGAACTGGCTAAGCTGACTAACAGAGTAAACAATGTCTGGCCGAGTTACTGTAAGATATAGTAATCTCCCAATAAGACGGCGGTATGAAGGGGCATCTACAGTTGGGCTATCATCGTCTGGAAGAAGTTTCAAATTTTGTTCCATGGGGAATGAACTAGGACGACTTCCCAGGAGACCACTTTCTTTTAGAATGTCAAGAGTGTAGTTACGTTGACTTAAGACAAAACCCTCGTGCGAACGAGCAACTTCAATTCCGAGAAAAAATTTCAATTTTCCCAAGTCTTTAATACTAAATTTTGCATCCAAGTAACCTTTCACAGTGTCAATGTGGGTGGCATTATTTCCTGCCAAGAGAACATCATCAACATAGATAAGGGCAAATGTGATTATGACACCTTGTTGAAAAATAAAAAGGGAATGATCTGCCTGAGATTGGCGAAATCCAATTCCGGTGAGGGCATGAGTGAATTTGTGATACCAATTACGAGATGCCTGTTTTAACCCATAAAGAGATTTTTGTAATTTGCAGACGCGATTATTGACCGGGCTGAACTTGCAAGTATACAAGTGCCGATATAGTAATAAAATACCGGTAAATACCGGGTCGATCCACAGGGAAATGGTTGATATTATAAAGTTGAATATTGAATGCAAAAGAATATAAATGGTATAATTTTTCAGGAACTTTGTTCTTTGAGGTTGATTTAAACAAGAATAAGAATTACTAAGGCAATCGGGATTCACCTAAATGCATTAATAGTTATTTAATAATAGTTCTTTCCCAATAATCATGAATACAATGTCGCTAATATATTCTCAACTCCGGTTAAGGCAGCGAGAGCGTGGTTTTCGTTACGTGTAAGTCCCGTTACGGCTTACATTCATCTACCGAAAACCCCGTTGAATATCAAGACATCACACCCGTATCATATAAGACCGGATATATTTCTATTCTCGGTACTATATATGTTTATCCTTTAATGTTCATAGTTTAGACTTCAACGTTAATTGCAAGCATAAACTAAATTTAACATACTTCTATGTTGTACACCATAGTCATAAACAATCAAAATATAAAGGATAAATCACAATTTATTGGTTTAGAACTTTTATCAAACACCTAGTGTGCATAGAGGATCATCCCTAGCCTTAGCTAAGAAATTAGCCTCTAATGCTCATATTAATCACAATACAATATGAAATGTAATGGAACATGAAATTACAAAGGAAATAATACCTAAACACCAATGGTTTCGGAGGTTGAAGTTTCCTCCTCAAGAACTTGAAGAAAATACCAAGAACAAAAATATAAAAGCTAAGAATTAATCTATGGAATGGAATGTATTTGCTTGATGAATTAAGGGCTTTATATAGGCTAAAGAATGGCATCTTTTAGTCTATTCAAGCCTAACAATCGGGTATGGAAGCAATATTTGATCAGATATGGAGGAAGATGGGTTTTTCCCATCAGAAATCTTCTGCACGTCGGACTGTTTTAGCAAAAAATCGGAACAACCGGCGCCGGTTATAGCATGTCCGGCGCCGGTTGGTTGCAAAAATGCCCCGGTTGTGCTGCGCCGGTTGGAAACAGGCCCGATTTGGGCAAAAATCCTGACGACCGGCGCCGGTTATAGGGACTCCGGCGCCGGTCCCTGCGCCCAATTTTGTACTTCGCTTCTTTTCTTCGTTTGATGCCCGAAATTGATCCCGAAGTGCCGGTTTTCGATCCCTTTTGACTTTTGACCCTATTTTTATTGCTCCATGTCGTATTTCATGTTTCCGCTAACTCGAGAATATTTATCTGTTTTTGCTTCACATTTTTGTACAGATAAATGTAATTACTTTTGTAAAACATAAGTAATTATTGTGCTTATCAAATTCCCCCACACTTGAGCGTTGCTAGTCCTCGAGCAATGTTGTCGCCTTTTGATGCCTTGGTTAGTTCAACAAAAATATATGCACAAAATAAATTTTTTAAAGAGAGGTAAAAAAATGTTTGTAAACTCCTTTTTTCGTTCTCGGTCCAAAACCCATTTTTCTATTAAACACAAAAAATATCATTAGATTTAGAAAAATTACTTATACTCTTGAGAGGAGATGAATGGATTGTGACTAGGATTTTTTTTTTTTTTTTTTTTTTTTTGGGTGTAGGATGGCTCTTTGGTGTATTTGACTTTTCAGTATAGAAGTGGATCAGTTGAAACTCTTGAAAGAGATCATGAGTTTTTTTTTTTTTTTTAACTCATTTGAATTGGTTCTCAACAAGCATCTACTGAAAGTTATTTTGGTCATCCCAATTTATTTGATGAGATATGAGGGTGGCTTGTTTTCCACAATGGTTCTTGAATATTTAAGATGTACTTAAACCATTGTTGGAAATGAAAGAAGATGGTGTTCCTAATCACAAGAGTTCTTTTGGAAGTGGTTTTCAAGAGTAAAAGGTAGTGTAAAAATCCAAAAAAAATGATATTTTTATGTGAATAATAAAAAAAAACTTTCTCAACCAAATACCCATTAAAAGGAGAATTAACATCATTTTTTTTTCTAAAAAAAAAAATATTTTGCACACAAAATTTTGTTTAGCTACCCTTGAGATGCACCCCCCCACACTTAAGATACATTGTCCCAATGTATAAATCATAGGAGCATAAAACTTCAATCACCATCCACAAAGCATGTGTTTAGAGAAGAGTATGTCATATGAAATAACAAGAATGGGAGTTTAATTTTGTGGATCGGGAGGGGGGTGTCCAAATTGACCATAGTAGTGTTGGGTGAATTGCCCAAACCTTCGGTCAATGCGGTCCAAATGCTCTTCCATCCTAGTTTGACGGGTACGGAGGTCCTCTTGGTTAGCCTCGTACAAGTTCATCCTCGTATGCATACGGTCCATGGAGTCACAAATATAGTCGATCCCCTGTGCCATAGTCCGTCGTGGCCGCCCTGCGGGTTGTGCTTCAGCCTCACCCATCTCTTGGTCGCCGTTTTCTTCCTTCCGAACCCATTCGTTACCCACCTTCTTGAAATGGAGGGCTACCATAGTATGTGGCCTCAAGACTTGGGACTCGGAGGTGTACTCCACTTCTTCATTTGAAAGGTCGACGCCAAAATGTCTGAAAATCATTGTAAGTAAAAGAGGAAAAATAAAGTTTTTGTCACCTCTTTTTGTTTTGACGACGCCCCTCATTTCCGTCATGATTAAAGGAGCCAAAGGAATACCCTCGATCTGTCCAAGTCCGTTGATCATTTTATACATTAGGTAGAGGTCCATCCGCCGAAGTACATGCGTGTCACTAGCTCTTGGCAAGATGTTGAAGCTAAGAAGGTATGCGATAAGTCTCTCTTTTGCTTCAAGAACACGAGCCCCAAGATCTGCACCGAATCCATATTCGTTCATGACATCTACCTCATTGTAAGCGGGGTCGGTGATTACCACTACAGAGTTCATTTCAACTGGACGACCGACGTTTGGGATATGAAGCAAGTTGCACAATCTTTGTTTGCTAATAGTGATTTTTGTGCCTTTAACCGTGCTCACAATATCCCCATACGGGTCCATTTTCCTCTCAATATTGGCATAGAACTCCCGTACAAGCGTCGGGTAGTATGCCCCAGTCAAAGTAAGCATGACGGCCCATCCCAATTTGTCAAAAGCGTTGGAGAGTCGATACAGAGCGTCGATCTCAGGATGCACAGTCTTCTCAACCACTATCTTCCACTTCTTTCTTTGTTCGTACCAAGCCTCATTCTCCGGGGAGGTGAAACGTGGTACGGATGAAGAGGAAGAAGTAGCATCATTTCGTCGTTTAGGAGCCATGGAACCTTGGATTGATGTTCAAAGAGTGATGAAGAAGCTTTTTGTGATGATGCTTGATGCAAAAATGAAGCTTTTGGAACAATTTTAGCTTGGGGGTGGCGGTTTTGGGTGGTTTGGGGTGGTGGCCGGCGAAGAGCTTTGGAGTTGGGAGGTTTTTTTTCGAAAATGTTTGCTCTGAATCGCGACCTGGTTGTTGTTTAAATCGCCGCGACCGGCGCCGGTTATAGGGCATCCGGCGCCGGTTCTTCCATTTTGTTGCGCCCCGGACTCTCTGTTTCGGACCGGGGCCGGTTGCTTCTAACCGGCGCCGGTCTTTCTTTAAAATTTATATATATTTTTTTTTTCTTTTTTTTTTAACTATCAAGCATGAATAAATATGAATGTTGTTTATGTGAGTAAACATATTTACTTATAAGTGATTTTTGATCAAATATAAAAAAAATGAATATAACTCAAACATATTTATTCATAATTGATTTTTTTTTTTTTGTTGTGTTGGGTTGCCTCCCAATTAGCGCTCAGTTTAACGTCGTAGGCCGGACGCAACGTACCTCTATTCTTCCAATTGGCATGCGGCGGTTGCCGAAGTGATATGGTACTCCATGTATGGCTTGAGCCGGTGACCATTTACAAGGAATGGTGTTTGGTCACCGTTTTGAATCATCATTGATCCGTATGGGCGGACCTCGGTGATTGTATATGGTCCTGACCACCGGGATTTTAGCTTTCCAGGGAATAATCGGAGCCGTGAGTTGAAGAGTAATACCTTTTGTCCGACATAGAACTCCCTCCGGTTAATGTTCTTGTCATGCCAAACTTTGGCCTTTTCTTTGTAGATACGGGAGTTCTCATATGCATCCCGTCGGAGCTCTTCTAGTTCATTGATTTGGAGCATTCTCTTTTCTCTCCCAAGGGTGGTATCAATGTTCAGTTGAGAGATAGCCCAATGAGATTTATGCTCAAGTTCCACAGGGAGATGGCATGGTTTGCCATAAACAAGCCGGAAAGGGGACATACCGAGTGGGGTTTTAAAGGCCGTCCGGTATGCCCATAAGGCATCATCTAGCTTTAGAGACCAATCTTTCCTTGAAGAGTTGACCGTCTTCTCAAGAATGGATTTTATTTCACGGTTGGATACCTCCACTTGACCATTAGTTTGAGGATGATAAGTGGCACCGGTTTTGAACATGCACCCGTATTTTTTTAGGAGGCCGGCAAAATGGGTATTCTTGAAATGAGCACCATTATCACTAATGATACTTCTGGGAACCCCAAATCTTGAAAAAATGTTCCTTTTTACAAATTCTACTACCGATTTGGCCATGTTGTCCGGTAGAGCAATGGCCTCCACCCACTTAGACACATAATCAACCGCAACAAGGATGTATTCCTTGCCATGAGATTTAGGAAAAGGGCCCATGAAGTCTATTCCCCATACATCAAATATTTCAACCACAAGAATCATGTTTTGTGGCATTTCATTCCTTCGGCTCAAATTTCCGGTGCGTTGACAACGGTCACAAGCTAGGACAAAGCTCCTTGCATCTTTAAAGAGTGTTGGCCAAAAGAATCCACATTGGAGGATTTTAGCCGCGGTTCGGTCCGGTCCATGATGTCCTCCACAAGGAAGATTATGGCAATGATCAAGGATAGATAACATCTCCTCATTTGGAACACACCGTCGTATAATTCCATCGGCACAATGCTTGAAAAGATATGGCTCATCCCAATAGTAATGTTTGACATCATGTAAAAATTTCTTTCTTTGATGGAAAGTGAGCTCTTGGGGAAGAATTTCTTTGGCAAGATAGTTCACAAAATCTGTGAACCAAGGTAAGGGAACTCCCTTTACTTCCATGAGCTGCTCATAAGGAAAATCGTCATGAATTACCTCTATTTTCGTGGTGGTATTTGGCTCAAGGCGAGATAGGTGATCCGCTACGAGATTTTCACTTCCTTTCTTGTCCCGAATCTCAAGGTCAAACTCTTGGAGTAAAAGCACCCACCGGATTAGTCGTGGCTTAGCATCCTTTTTATTCATGAGGTACCGGATGGCGGAGTGATCGGTGTAGACAATCACCTTTTGGCCAATGAGGTAAGACCGGAATTTGTCAAAAGCATAGATGACGGCTAGGAACTCTTTCTCCGTTGTTGCGTAATTGAGTTCCGCATCATGGAGTAACCTCGATGCATAGTATATGGCATGAAGTTTCTTTTCTCTTCTTTGACCAAGCACAACCCCAATGGCGTGGTCGCTAGCGTCGCACATCAATTCGAACGGTAGAGACCAATCCGGTGAAATGATTATTGGGGCCGAAGTAAGAGCCTTCTTGAGAGTGTTGAAGGCTAGTAAGCAAGATGGAGAGAAATCAAAAGTAGCATCCTTGGCAAGTAAATCACAAAGTGGTTTTGCGATTTTTGAAAAATCTTTGATGAATCGCCGGTAAAAACCGGCATGCCCCAAAAAGCTTCTTATGGCTTTTACCGAATGAGGAGGTGGTAATTTTTCAATAACCTCCACCTTGGCTTGATCAACTTCAATGCCTTGAGGGGAGATTTTGTGCCCCAAGACAATGCCTTCGGTCACCATAAAGTGACATTTCTCCCAATTAAGAGCAAGATGGGTTTCTTCACATCGGACGAGCACTTTTTCAAGGTTATTTAGGCAAACATCGAATGAATTTCCAAAGACTGAAAAATCATCCATAAATACCTCCATATAATCTCCAACCATGTCCGAGAAAATAGCCATGACGCACCTTTGAAAGGTCCCTGGTGCATTGCAAAGACCAAATGGCATCCTTCGGTAAGCAAATGTCCCAAAAGGACAAGTAAAAGTTGTCTTCTCTTGATCCTCGGGTGAGATGGCTATTTGAAAATAGCCGGAAAAAACCATCCAAGAAGCAATAAAATTCATGACCCGCCACTCTTTCTAGCATTTCGTCCATGAACGGTAGGGGGAAATGGTCCTTCCTTGTGCCGGCATTCAGTTTGCGGTAGTCAATGCACATTCTCCATCCGGTAACCATTCTAGTAGGAATTAGTTCATTCTTACTATTGGTTATAACGGTGATTCCTCCCTTCTTCGGGACTACTTGCACGGGACTCACGAAGTTGCTATCGGATATGGGATAGATAATACCATAGTCAAGAAGTTTGAGAACTTCCTCCTTGACTACCTCCTTCATATTTGGGTTGAGCCTCCTTTGATGTTCCACCGTTGGTTTGTGGTTTTCCTCCATGAGGATCCGATGCATGCATAGAGTTGGGCTTATACCCTTGATATCCGCCAAGGACCAAGCTATTGATGATGTGTGAGCTCTCAATACCCGGAGTAATTTCTCTTCTTGTAAAGGAGAAAGAGTAGAGGAAATTACCACGGGGTATGTAGAGTTATCGCCAAGGAATGCATATTTGAGATGTACCGGTAGAGGTTTGAGAGTGGGCTTTGGAGGAGTTTGACTTGATGGTTTGAGAATAGACTTCCTTTGCCCAAGGTCTTCAAATCTTTGCCGGTAAGGTCTATGAACGACTTCTCCTTGTAAGAACATCATTTGTTGGAAAATTTCAGAATTTTCTTCTTCTTCGGAATGCCCAAGTGTGAGACATGCTTCAAGAGGGTCTTTTTGAAGTTCTTTTTCAAACATCTCCCGAGTTATAGTATCAATGATGTCAATACTAAAACACGTGGAGCTATCATGATGTTTCTTCAATGAATCCCACACATGGAATTCTTGTTCGTCTTCTCCTACTCGGAATTTGACAACTCCGTTCTTCACATCAATGAGGGCGGCGGCGGTGGCTAGAAATGATCTCCCAAGAATGATAGGAATTTCCATTTCTTCCATTTCCAAGATGAGAAAATCTACCGGAAAATAGAATTTTCCCACCTTAACTAGAACATCTTCCATAACTCCCAATGGATAGCGGATTGTTCTATCCGCTAATTGGAGGGCAATCGTTGTAGATTGAAGTTCCCCCACACCAAGCTTTTTAAAGAGGGAATGTGGCATAAGATTTATACTAGCTCCGAGATCACAAAGAGATTTTACCTCTCCAATTTTTCCAATAGAGCATGGGACGGTGAAGCTTCCGGGATCCTTCAACTTTGGGGGGAGTTTATTTTGAAGGATTGCACTACACTCCTCCGTGAGTGCTACGGTTGCAAAGTCCGCTAGTTTCTTCTTGTTTGAGAGAATCCCCTTTAGAAATTTGGCATAAGAAGGGATTTCCGCAATAGCCTCTGCGAATGGTATGTTGATGCTTAACTTTGTAAAAATATCAAGAAATTTCTTGTATTGTTTACCATCATCCTTCTTCTTTAACCTTTGTGGATATGGGATAGGGGGAACATAATTTGCCATAGTAGGGAGTGGCGATATATGTTCCTCCAACTCCTCCTCGTCTTGTGTCGTTGGTGCTCCCTCCGGAGTTTTAGGGTCCTCCGTTTGTTTGCCACTCCGCGTTGTTATGGCCATGACGTTTTCCCTTGGATTAACTTCGGTTGTTGTGGGGAATCGCCCTTGTTCTCGAGTGCTTTTTCCTTGGGCAATTTGCCCAATTTGGACCTCCAAGTTGTGGATAGATGACTTGGTGTATTGTTCTATGTTGTCCATGCGTTGGTGAAGTTTCCGGTTTTGATCTTCAAACCGGAGGTCAAGCTTGGTGAATTGTGAGTGGAGATTCCCAATGGATGCCTCCACTCTACTATGATTCTCCTCATTTTGGGCTTTTACACTAGCCACAACATTTTGAGTGAGAGTCTTCATCATTTCCTCCATTGTTTGCTCTTTTTGTCCATGTGTAAGCCCGGATGAGGGGTAAGAAGGACCTCCTTGTGGTTTACCTTGGTTAAACCTTTGTTGATTGTTGGAATAGTTGTTGCCTCCTTGGTACCCCCGATTCCCGTAAGAGTTCATATAATTCACATCTTCAAGAGTTTGAGGTGAATTACCTTCCGGTTGTGCAATATTCTCCACACTTGCTACTTGACTAGCTCCTCCAATCACGGCTTGAAGAGCCGTATGAATAGAGGCTTGAAGATCTTTGTGCATAGCTTGTTGAAAATCAGCAAACCGCTTGTCCAATTCATGAGCTATGGACACCTCACTCACACCGGCTAATTTGACATCTCCTCCTTGTAGTTGAGGATTGGAAGCAATGGATTCAAGGATTCGCAAAGCCTCTGTTTCAGTTTTGTTGCCAATATAGCCCTCCGCACGGTTATCTACAATGGCTTGGCATGAAGAGTTCAAACCATTGTAGAATGTATCAATTTGAAGATCAAGAGGAATGCGGTGATGTGGACATTCCTTCAACAAGGCTTTGAAACGCCTCCATGCGTCTTGGAATAGTTCTCCAACTTGTTGTTTGAAGTTGAAGATTCGTTGTCTTAGCTCTTGAGTCATCGTGGGTGTATAATACTTGGAAATGAAAGCATTATAGATACCTTCCCACGTTGTGAAAGTTGCCGGTGTTTGCTCCAAGAACCACATCCTTGCCGCCCCTTTCAAAGTGTAGGGAAAGCTTTTGAGTTTGAGATCGTCCTCGGTGAGACCATGCCTAGGGATTCCTTGGATGAATCCATAGAACTCAGTGATGAAGTTAAGTGGATTCTCCCCCGGAAGACCATGAAATTGAGGCATAGCATTGAAGTAGCTATTTTTCATTTCATAGTCCCGAGCCGCCTCGCTTAGGACAATGCATGAGGGAGTGGCTGCAACCACGGGCCTCTTCCTTTCATTGAGTGTTGGCATCATCTTCGCCTTTCTTTCCTTCCGGTTGTGTTTGAGAGTTCTTTCTATTTCAAGATCAAGAGGTTCAAGATGTTTAGAACCTTGACTTCTCAAATGCATTCAACACAAAGGATAGTCTACACACATGAAATGAAAAGTACCCAAGAACAAGTGAAAAGCAATGGGAAATAAATATTTCAGGATTTTGTTTGGTTGTTTTAACTCTATAATAACAAGCCGTATTTCCCCGGCAACGGCGCCAAAAACTTGACCGGGCTGAACTTGCAAGTATACAAGTGCCGATATAGTAATAAAATACCGGTAAATACCGGGTCGATCCACAGGGAAATGGTTGATATTATAAAGTTGAATATTGAATGCAAAAGAATATAAATGGTATAATTTTTCAGGAACTTTGTTCTTTGAGGTTGATTTAAACAAGAATAAGAATTACTAAGGCAATCGGGATTCACCTAAATGCATTAATAGTTATTTAATAATAGTTCTTTCCCAATAATCATGAATACAATGTCGCTAATATATTCTCAACTCCGGTTAAGGCAGCGAGAGCGTGGTTTTCGTTACGTGTAAGTCCCGTTACGGCTTACATTCATCTACCGAAAACCCCGTTGAATATCAAGACATCACACCCGTATCATATAAGACCGGATATATTTCTATTCTCGGTACTATATATGTTTATCCTTTAATGTTCATAGTTTAGACTTCAACGTTAATTGCAAGCATAAACTAAATTTAACATACTTCTATGTTGTACACCATAGTCATAAACAATCAAAATATAAAGGATAAATCACAATTTATTGGTTTAGAACTTTTATCAAACACCTAGTGTGCATAGAGGATCATCCCTAGCCTTAGCTAAGAAATTAGCCTCTAATGCTCATATTAATCACAATACAATATGAAATGTAATGGAACATGAAATTACAAAGGAAATAATACCTAAACACCAATGGTTTCGGAGGTTGAAGTTTCCTCCTCAAGAACTTGAAGAAAATACCAAGAACAAAAATATAAAAGCTAAGAATTAATCTATGGAATGGAATGTATTTGCTTGATGAATTAAGGGCTTTATATAGGCTAAAGAATGGCATCTTTTAGTCTATTCAAGCCTAACAATCGGGTATGGAAGCAATATTTGATCAGATATGGAGGAAGATGGGTTTTTCCCATCAGAAATCTTCTGCACGTCGGACTGTTTTAGCAAAAAATCGGAACAACCGGCGCCGGTTATAGCATGTCCGGCGCCGGTTGGTTGCAAAAATGCCCCGGTTGTGCTGCGCCGGTTGGAAACAGGCCCGATTTGGGCAAAAATCCTGACGACCGGCGCCGGTTATAGGGACTCCGGCGCCGGTCCCTGCGCCCAATTTTGTACTTCGCTTCTTTTCTTC